ACAACAGCAACAACAACAACAACAAGTAAACAAATACTACAACCCGTCTGTGGCATTACTACCGGTATAGCTTTAATGAGGAGGTAACCTGGGTTCAATCATCAATGGTTATAAACTATTCTCCTCATCATGAACTCGTGATGCTTATTGATATTTGTATTCTCATTTGTGCTGACTTTCAACCCGGTCATATCTCTGTACTATTATGACAGCTAGATATATCATGGTATGTGTTTTAGTTTACTTGTTTTAATATTCCTGAAGTTTGTAATATTCAAAATACAAGCATGATAAATAATGACATTGCATTAAAAACATTTTTTGTTTTGTGTGTGGAAATGTCATGATTGGAAATCGATATAAATATATCAATTTCATAACGTTCTTCTCATTTGCAACACATTTTACTTTAATGATAACATAGTATTACGTTAAAGCACCCTCTTGGTCCAAACGGCTAGCTGTATGTTATTGTTGATCTTCAATTTGTCACAATATTTTGTCTTTCTTGCCGTGTAAACACTTGCTAATTCTATCATCAAGCTCTCAAATGTGACCGCAGTTTCTTTCAAATGGTGTCACATAGAGTTCATGCTCATTCCTACCTATTTTGTTAAAATCTTAGTTTACAATTTAATCAAGAGTTAACACATGTATATCAGACTGAAGGCTATTCAACGTTCGTTTTCTTTGGGCGTGGGGATATAGATTTTATTTTGAGTTAAGGAATTGTATTATGATTGTTGTTATAGTTATCATTATTTATTTATTTATTTATTTATTATTATTATTATTATTATTATTATTATTATTATTATTATTATTATTATTATTATTATTATTATTATTATTATATATTATTATTATTATTATTATTATTATTATTATTATTATTATTATTATTATTATTATTATTATTATCGCAAATATATCATTTATGATCATATGTATTTTAGTTTTTATGATAACATAAATAAAACAATGTTAATAATTAAATAATTAATTAAATTTAATAATTAAAATTATTTTAAACTAATTTTTAAGATTTAACATATTTATGCCCCTTTAATCACATCTTCAACACCTGGCATGTATGCTCACGTAGTGGTCTAATGCGATTATGTGCATTAGATTCGGTCCAAATACAGCTATAGATAAAATCTCAGATTTGAGGAAAACTGTTGTTTTCTTGCTTACTAGGTTATGTTACTGTGTTAAGAACATGTATACTTTTGCAATCTTGAGGACAGCATTTTCCTACGTTTTTTTTACGAGTTCATCAAATTTTTATCATTTTTGAGTGTCTGTATGTTGCGTCTCTTTCTGATAAATCTCTTGCCAGGGTATTGAAGTCCCTATTAAATGTTTCCTGCCTATTGCATCAATATTGAAGATATTGGCTTTAGCATGAATACATATTTTATTAACAAGCTCTCCAATGTTAGCAAAATGTGTTTGTCACAATGTCAGATACAGTGAATGGGTACCAATCCCAGATTAGTTACAAATGTTTAGTTTACAACTTGTTCAGCTATTAGCACATAAAAAAGCAAATTCATTAACTAGAAGGCACTGGCAATTGTGGAGTGGGTATGGGGATTTTGTTTTGAGTTCATATATTTTATTTTTTTTTATCTGAAGATATTTTCATTATTATTATTATTATTATTATTATTATTATTATTATTATTATTATTATTATTATTATTATTATTATTATTAAAAAACTGACAGGCGGCGCTCATCAGCAACCCGGTTCACTTCAAACCGGAAGAGGATTGCATCCATACAGCATCAGCAGTAAAGAGCGTGAAAGGTACATGAAGTAATTAGCTATTACCATATTCTAATAACGCATGCGGAGTGTTGCGTATCCCAATCAACAAACATGTGGGGGGTCATACATTTTTCTGGTCTAAAAAGATTTGGAAGCCTACGATACACTGGGTTGTGTTCCGACCACTTTGACTCGTCTGCTTATGTATGTGAAACATCATCTGGTAAGTTTTGCTTTTACACAGCTTATACCTGTAAATAATTCTCATAAAATATATTAGTATAATATGTTAACCAAATAACTAGATATTTGTCGTTTATCGCAAGCATTATGGTTGTTTAGAATAATCATGGTTTGGTTCGCTATCATGTATCAATGAGGATCAATACGAACAGGTGAAAATTCTTTACGTGTAATTAGAAATGAAACACACTCTGAAATATGCATTCCACTGTATTTTTTTAATATTAGATTTTAAAATGTTGTCCCGTTTAAATACTGGTAGAAAACATGACTGTCACAAAAGCAGACTATTCAGTGCTGTAGTGTATCTTGTTTGTGTAGCCATATGTACATACATGTGTACCTGTTATACATATCGTTTTAAAACATTATATATATATATATATATATATATATATATATATATATATATATATATATATATATATATATATATATATATATATATTCCCATTCTGTCTACCCTAATATCAACACCAGTGTAGCAGGAAACCACTCATTTTGTTTTGGCCTTAAGTACTGTATAAACACTTTCCACTTTCCTTTGTTTTCATTTCAGGGTATTAGCGATGTTATTATGATGGATGAAAATGCTGAGGTTGGATGTCAACTCCAGCTGAAGAAACAGGTATAGTAAAATATGTTTGACTTTTACATTTTTTTTTTTGGTTACCCTCCACCTGCCACATAAATTGGTGGTGTGCATACAGCAAATACAACCATTCATTATATATGAAAACTAAGAGAACTTTGTTAAAACAATATTTGCTGCTTTTTATTTGTTACATTTTATGAATCATAAACTGATCATTTTAAGACTGTGTCCCTTAAACACTTCCATGTGAACCAAATCCTTCTTCCAATTATACTGTTAAAATGAAATTGATGCACTTGATTTTGTAAATTAAAACTTGTTACTCAAATGTTCTTGCAAAATTTTATAGTTATTTCTGTGAGACTGTGATAACGTTGAAATTCACCAAACGCAATTATGATTTCATTTCAATGTTTTCAGTGTACATACCTGTCTCAACTCAGACTGAAGAAACCAGCACAAGAGATTGTGGGACGCAAAGTGGCAATCAACCAATGTTTAGGTTATAGAATGTAGTGAATGATCCCCATAGCATACATTTCTATATTGCACTGGAAAATTGTCAGAATGTTAAATTTGTATAAGACACCTTAGGAACAGCAGGCAGCATATCATCTCAATTACTATGATGGTTCATTATCTGACATAGGTATTGAAGATCAGTTTTTTCTACATTAATTAAACTACGACGACACATTACAAGTTTCGAGCTTAGCCGCCTATTTAAACTGAGAGTGAAGTTACCAATGTGTTTGTCACTCGGATAAATTTTATGTTTCACCAGTGGAATGAGGTCATCTGGTGGTCATCCAGAGATTTAGTTCTTTTTTTGCTGTAACAGATTTTCAGCAAAATACATCGATACCAGGGTAATAGTGAATAGCACATTGTTCAATTTTCAAACCCAAACATCCACTGGCACAATAAGAAATATTTTCAACGAACAAATATAAAAATACGTTAACGTTACTGGTGGGTTGTATGCCTAGTGGACTTGTTTCCTATGTTTCTAGCGCCTATGGAGGTTCTACTAGCGATATAAATTTATGTGAAAGAAGTAAACATACTATGATGGGTGTTCCAGGGGACTCAATAATTGCTGATAAGGGCTTCAATGTAGAGTATATCTTCATTTCATTCAATATTAATATCAATATCCAAAGCTTCTTCAATGTCGTGAATCGTATGTCATCCAGAAACTTTCTAAAAGATAGAAGAATCGCATGGAAGAGAGTTCATGTTGAAAGAATCCCCTTAATAATATAGAATCTGCACTGGCAACAGAAGTCATAAAGGTATGCTTGACTTTGTGTTCCTTAAGAAATGGAAATGTACCTAGACATGTTTAAATGTGTTTAGTAATAAAATACTAAATGCTTGGAAAAACCATCTCATTTTTTCTGGTCTTTGCACACCCGCATTGCTGACTCCAGTCATTATCCCAAATGACTGATGTTCTTGGGAGCACAGAGGGAGGTTGATTGGCTTCACTATCCCACTCCTCAGTTTGATGGAAAGTGAAGGCGTGTTGTTTTTTGTTGCTTGTTACCCCTGTTTTTTGGGGGGACAGAAAAGGGAATGATGACTCTACCTCCTTACTGGTTGTTGCTGTTGTTGTGGTGGTGTTGCTGTGGTGGAGATAGTGGTACTTAGTTGTGGAAGACGCCGTGGTGGCGTTTGTGTCCTAACCTCAGGTTAGGCCTCACAATGAGGCCTCAGTATGAGGTGTTGCAAGTTTGTTTCTTCCTTCTTTGTCTTCATTTTCCTGGTCTCCTCTTCCTCTTCAATCCTGACTTCTTCTGCGATGGTCTCCTTGGACAGCTCGTCTAAAATGCGACTGGCATACACCAAATGCTTTTGAAGCTCCAACAATTTGGCAATTCTGCTACTAATTTACAATGTTAATACGGCAACACGGGTAGCCAGACTGACGAGCGCTTTGCTTTATATTCGTAAAGCAAGGACGTGAATGAAAGCATTCCCTGACACCTAAAGCTAACCATATAAAATGGAATGCGCGGACCTAAAATTAGTACTCAAGTTAACTTTTTTACTTACAAGCACAGATATACACTATCAGACAAGACAAAGAACGAAGTTTTAATTTTAAGTTCAAGTTTTAAACATACTAACACATAATTTGTTTTTGCAAATGAATCAGCATATCTTTTCAAGAGTAGCCCTGAAAAGTGTTATTTAGATGACGGGAAGTAATGGCAATCTTTTAGGTTCTAAGATTGCGTCCCCGTCTGGCAGCAGGCTTTCCTTGGTGGCCACACGACAGTCAATAAAACCTATGTTTGCTTCCTGATGATATTGCTGCTGCTGCTGTTCTCTCTGCTTCTGAAGCTTGTACTTCCCTGTCCATTCTCTTTAACCGCTCATGTGGCCTAGTGGTTAAAGCGTCCGCCTTGGATGCGGGAGGTCGTGGGTTCAATTCCTGGTCGATTCATACCAAAGACTTACAAAAATCGCACTAACAGCTGTCTTGCTTGACGCTCAGAATTAAGAGGTTAGTGTTAGGACTGGTCGGCCTGGTGTCAGGATAATGTGACTGGGTGGGACATCATGCTACATGTCTGCTAGACATCACTATAAAAACTGCCACACTACAGACATCGTAGCGATATGACTGAAAAATTGTTAAAGCAACGTTAAAAAATTATAATCACCACCCCCTGTCCATTCTCCTTGTACTTTCTTGTTTTCCATTCTGAAGATCTCTTCTACCAGGTTTAGGACTATGGATAGCATCCTGACACTATAATTGAGTACATTATGATAGTTGTCTCAGCTCTCAGCGTGTGTGTATATATATATATATATATATATATATATATATATATATATATATATATATATATATATATATATATATATATATATATATATATATATATACACACACACACACACGCTGAAAGTACGGCATTCTAATCACTGAGATATTGCAGCTCCCTTGAATTATCAGTCATATTGGTGGAACAATACTGATTTAAGGTCATTCACAGGAATCTCATTCTCTTGCAATTTAGATCGAAACGTGAGTTTATCAAATGATAAGTTACATCTTTTATAATTCTCCCAAATTGTATACCTAAAGAAATTTCTAGAATACCGATCAGCTGACATTATCCAGGAAATTACGTAATTTTAACAAATTTGAACTTACACTGAAATTTCCTGACTAACTGTGCACATAATTCTTTCCTTGCAGCTGATAACATTGATATTCAAATATAAGGTCATACTCATTCTCCAGCACATAACAAAAAGTACATATCCTTGTATCTACTATGTAGATCATGGTTTCTACTATGTAGATCATGGTTTCTACTATGGTAGATCATGGTTTCTACTATGTAGATCATGGCTTCTGCTATGGTAGATCATAGTTTCTACTATGGTAAATCATGGTTTCTTCTATGTAGATCATGGCTTCTACTATGGTAGATCATGGTTTCTACTATGGTAGATCATGGTTTCTTCTATGTAGATCATGGCTTCTACTATTGTAGATCCTGGTTTCTACTATGGTAGATCCTGGCTTCTACTATGTAGATCCTGGTTTCTACTATGGTAGATCATGGCTTCTACTATGGTAGATCCTGGTTTCTACTATTGTATATCATGGTTTCTTCTATCTTCCTAATTCAATTTGCAAAGTGCAGACCTTGAGTTTGACAGACAATTTATATTGTCACTTATTATCTACATATTCCTAAGACTAAAGGATCAAGATTTCAATGTAATCTTATTCTTAAGGATTATATGATTCTCGATTTTCTAGACTAAAATTGATCATAGTAATAAAAAAACTACTTTTCTCTTCCCTACAGATTTATTTATCCACACGTCTCCCAGTAAAATACATCTTAATTAATGCCAGACGAGATGCCCAAAGTTTCCATGTTTTCTCTTCGTGCCTATCAACAATTGATTATAAATTACGGGTATATTGCGATTGAAATTCAATGTCTTTCTGCCATATATATATATATATATATATATATATATATATATATATATATATATATATATATATATATATATATATATATATATATATATATATATATAACCCAGTTTCGAAGTACAGAAATACAAGATAATATGCTAAACGTAATAGTCCTGTGATGACTGAAAAAATTTGATGGAATTTATTCATGCCTTCATGTTGCTTATTGATACAGAAATTAAATAACATGGCTATGGAAATGAGCGCTGTGCTATCTATGTAATTTAATTTACCGATATATTGGAATTAGTCGTTTCTAGCAAACTCTTATTACGTTCTTTCTTCTGGATTGAGTACATGAATTTCTGTAGAAACATACATCTTTCTTCTGGATTGAGTGCATGAATTTCTGTAGAAACATAGATCTTTCTTCTGGATTGAGTACATGAATTTCTGTAGAAACATAGATCTTTCTTCTGGATTAAGTACATGAATTTCTGTAGAAACATAGATCTTTCTTCTGGATTGAGTACATGAATTTCTGTAGAAACATAGATCTTTCTTCTGGATTGAGTACATGAATTTCTGTAGAAACATAGATCTTTCTTCTGGATTGATTACATGAATTTCTGTAGAAACATAGATCTTTCTTCTGGATTGAGTACACGAATTTCTGTAGAAACATAGATCTTTCTTCTGGATTGAGTACATGAATTTCTGTAGAAACATAGATTTATTTTCAAAGTGTAAAACCTTATAATTCAGCATTCATATATTTGCTAGAAAATAAAATATTATCAATACTGTCCAGCTTCAACCTAGTGGAAACTCAGAGCAGTGATCACGTTGATGTGAGTGTGTACATCCGTCTTTAAACTCATTCATCCATATATCCGTCTACACCCAACACTATACATTATATTTTAACTACTGTGATAGTTATTCTTTCTTTCTTTCTTTCTTTCTTTCTTTCTTTCTTTCTTTCTTTCTTTCTTTCTTTCTTTCTTTCTTTCTTTCTTCATATATGACACACAGCTTAAACATATAGATATATTCGTGTGCTAAATAAATGACAGCATTACCAAAGCTTGGTTCCGGTGTGGGGTGACGTCGAGTTCCACATACATGCCTTTTATAAATAACAATACTCTGTTTACTGTCAAAAAGATATTAATCCTAAGATGAAGCATGTGCTATGCCTTAGTTGATGATAGCAGTTATTATGCACGAATAAGGGTAAAATTATGTCACTTCGTTCATGCCATACATAAAGATCATATCATCCACGCAAAATGAAATACAGAACAGGACACTTCTGGCTTCATGATAAATAACAGATGCATTGCATGGTTACACAGAAAGGCAATAGTGCATGCCATGGCTTTTGCCTTCATTCATGTAAATTGGTGTCCTTAATACATACATCTGACATCATTTATTGAGGACCTCAAGCATACATATGCCATCATTTATTGACAATAGGTATAGAAGATATACTTGTTAGATAAAAATTTCCTTAGTATTGTATGGATACATTTGTATCTAGTCTGTATAATGCGTGTACTGAATTTGTATACAAACATATATTACCTCGGATATTACAATTATATAACAATACGTGTTCCATAATTTATGTAAATATTGATGTATCAGTTTTGTGGGTAAAAAAAAACTTCCTGCGTCCCCATTTTTTGACCTTTGCAAGTGTGTTCATTTAAATTTAATTCTTTTGTTTGAAACGAAACAGTTTCAGGAAATTCAAATTATAACCCTCATGGCAACCAACACTTGCTGACACTTCACAGAGGTAAAACACATTGCTGTCATATTTTAAGTTAGCTTATTGAAACTCAATACGATATTTATGCATGTGGTTGCGAACTGCAATATATCAAAAGTTTCAATATGCAATAATTAAGTTGACGTCACATACTATACTGCGTCTGTCAGATTCTATATTCGATCGGGTGGCATGATACCAGATGATTGCACTTTCAACTCCTAATCAAGATCTCACTGATATAAGCTTATGTGGTAACAAACTCCATAAGATGGCCGATCACCTATCATGAAACGATAACTCTTGTTACGAAACGCACAGCAGATGTATATGTTATTAGCCTATATTGATGTAAATGTCTCCATATTGCTGGGAATGTCTCTGAGTCTGGTTAATAACTTCAACCAGTCTTATGTAGGATCACGTTATAATATTCTTGGATTTGCTCAATATTGAATTTGTCCAAGACGTTTATGAAAGTCCATATATCATTTTGTATTAAAACGTAATTAATAACTATGGATTACAGCTCTTGAAAAATATTTTTTTAAAATAAATTTGATCAAACTTAATATATTGTTATATTACCTAAATATGCCACAAGATAACAATAGTGAACAAGATTCATGCATATTAATAATGAACGTGTGCCTATCAGTTGCTGACGTTGCTAACACAACATAATATTCAATGTAATGTGGCAAATATTATCTATCATCAAAATGTATCATAAAAGGCGCATATCGTCTCAATTTTTCCAGACATCGTCGGGGTCATGATATAGGTTACTGGCATCTTTAATTAGTTGAAGAAACTGATTATACATGTGCTGCTAATCGATCAGCAAGGTTAGTGTCATTCTTTCCGCTAATGCAGTTTGCTTCTTTGGGTTTATGTTTTGTTTTCGATGCATTATTTGCAGCTATTAATTCCTCGTTAATGACTCTACACGTCGTTGTTACCTTTTTTATTCCTCATATGCATGTTGTTGTTGTTATTAGCATGCATGTTGTTGTTCCTTAATGCATGTTGTCTTGGCCGTTCTTCTTGTCTTTGCATGTGCATTACTGGCATAAATGGTTCAGGTACGAAGGTTGTATTATATCCATACCTTGTCAACTCTTCATGCTTTTGTGCTCCTAAATGGATTGAACGTTTGCACAATTTGATTCCACCGATGACCGGTGCAATCTTTCTAATCAAGAAAACCCGCTAAATGCCATTTTAGGCCAGTATCCGCGTTATTTTTTTTTTTATCTTTTTGTGCTGGTAATTTCAACAGACACCCTTTCCCGTTATCGGGCTTGTAAATCATTTGATAGACGGAAAGTTTGAGCAACGCTTCGTGCTCCTATCCCAGCATGTTACGTGTTTGATGCCTAATTTAGCTACGGTACACTTTTGTACTATTGCGGTATATACAGAATACATAACTATTCATGTTACCTAGTTCAACATTTCCTGATCTAGTAGGCTCTTACATTCCGCGGTTGAACTTAACATTATGTTTGTATACTGAACTTTACTTAAGTTCTCAAGTCCACTAAATATATTCACGATTGTTGACTGTGTTTTCTGTGTACTTACCCAAATCTCGTAAATATCCTGACTGAGCACTGACATCACCTTCAATATAGTGGTTCTAAATTAAAAATTTAAGACGCAGTCAATAGTGTGAGTAATCCTGTTTTGGTTTACAAGCTCTCTAATTTTA